TAACGCCGCAGCACCCTCTGCTCCCTGCAAGCCCCCAGCTCCCCCTAGAGCAGCCCCACCTGGGGCCACACATCGCCCCAGGGGGCTGGAGCTGGCTCTCAACTCTCATCCCACCAGCGACGCCAGAGCAGCAGCTCACCTCCGATTTTGGCGTTGTACGCAACGCCTGCCCCACAGATCCCGTTGTTGGCTGCGGCTGCTGCTTGTCCTGCACAACGTGTCCCATGCCTGGGGGGCAGAGTTACCCTGTGAGCCGTCTTCTGCGAGGGGACAAGGGGTCTGGGATGTTCCCCCTGCCAAGAGATAAAGCATCCAGCACAGGGTGCTGGGCAGAACTCACTTGTTCTCGTCCTCAGCGCTGTATCTGGGCTGGGGATCAGGATCGTTACTGTTGAAATCGTAACTCGCCAGGGGGTCCTATTGCAAAAAAGAGGCGCTGGTGTGAGCAAACTGCCTCTCGACGTGGGTAGTGACAGCTTGACACAGGTGCCCCGTGTCCGGCCATGCACGTCACCCTGCCTGCCCATGAGTTCACTGCCTGCCCAGCCTAGAGAGGGGGCCTTCACCCCCAGGAACTGCGCCAGGTTAACCTGGGGTTGTTGGAAACTGTTTTGCTAGAGAAGGATAACTTGGCACTTCGCTGTTGTGCTTCATCGTGCTCTCGTCCAGTGAGAAAGCGCAGCGAGTCACCGAGGTCAAGCCTCAGTGGCCACACAGGCAGAAAAGAGGAACACGAACCACTGAGCCGATGTCACAAACAACAAAGATTTCCCTGTTCTACCCTCTCGGCTCTTGGAGCACGTGAGGGTTTACCAGCTTTACTGGCTTTGCAGCTTGCTGTAATTACATCTGTTTTGGGGGCTTGAGCGTGTACAAGTTCTAACGTTTCCTTGTTGTGAGAATTCGCTGCAGGAGACACCAAACCTTTTGATCCAGCCCCAGAGAGGCTGAGTTCCCACTGCAAAGTCCCATGGGCGGGATGAAGGCGCCAGCTCCCACCCTCCCCTGGAGCCAACACGCCCTGGAGGAGCCGGTTCCCTCAGCCCACGCTGCTCAGCCCCTCGTAGTTACGTAGTTGGGAGACAAGTCCGGATGATCCTTCTCGATCCCATCGTCCAGGATGGTCAGCACGACCCCCAGCCCGGTGTACCCTTTGCTCCAAGCGGTGAGGGTGTTTAGATCAGGATTGATGTCATTGTTCTGGAAAACAGATTAAGTTTGACCAGCCCGGGGCAGTGGGCTGCCGGTGACCTTCAAGGACCGTTCTGCTGCCTCATCGCTGTCAGCATTAGTCCTGTTTGTGCACTGGGGAGGTGATTTGCTTGAGGATTAAAACAGAGCGATGGAAAAATCTCACCATGTACCACTGTTTATGGAACCAGGGGTCTGTCGGCACCACGCTGACGCTTCTCTTTGTGCGCCTCTTTAGGGTTTGCTGCTCAAACCAGAGGACCTGGGTGGGAAGCAGCAGTTGTTGGTGGTGGCAGGGTCAGGCCACAACCTCTGTCCCTGCAACCTCCCTCTCCCCACCTTCGGCTCTTTTGTCAGGCGCATATTCCAGCCCCAGTGTCTGCTTAAGGCTTTCTGCCTGGTGCCGCGGTGTTTGAAATGATAATAAGGCTCTCCCTCCATCACCTGTGGGTGCAAAGAGCTGCTGTGAGTGAGTTTTTCCACAAGCAGCTGGGCTCTGCCAGCTCTAAGTGGGCCATAGAGATCAGAAAGCTACCTTTAATTTGAGTTGTACAGGGCAGGGCAAGGAGAGTGTGTCACTGAGAGAGGTGGGCTCCCAGGGAAGGTCTGTGGGTGCCCTTCAGCTTTTTCCTGCTCACCAGCCCAAGCAGGGGCCGTTAGCACCCCGTGGCCCTCCCGCTTTTATCCACACCCCGTGGTTTAAAAGCACTAGAGGGAGTGATCAGGGTTAGGGTTAGGGTTAGGGTTAGGGTTAGTGGAATTTGGGTTGGAAAGGACCTTAAAATTCATCTTGTTCCAACCAGGCACACCTCCCACTCGATCAGGTAGCTCGAAGTCAGACCTGGCCTCGCACGCTTCCAGGGAGGGGGTTTCCACAACTGGAACCTGTGCCAGTGCCTCACCACCCTCAGCG